CCTGGAACTTGCTCTTAGACCAGGTTGGCCTCGAACTCACAAGAGATCCACCTGTCTCTGCCTCCCGAGTGCTGGGATTACAGGCGTGTGTCACCAACGTCCGGCTGACAAGGATTTCTTTACTTATTTTTATTTACGTGTGTGAGTGTCTGCAGAGTGTGTGAGTACCACATTGGTGAAGGTATGCTTAGAGACCAGAGTGTCTTATATTTGTAAAGAGAGGAAAAAAATAAAATAAATGTGTATCACATTTACAAGGGTGTATTGCATTATTTCTCTTTTCTTTCTTTTTTTGGTTGTTTGTTTGGAGACAGGGTTTCTCTGTGTAGCTCTGGCTGTCCTAGAAGTCACTTTGTAAAGCAGACTGACCTGGAACTCACAAAGATCTGCCTGTCTCTGCCTTCCCAGTGCTGGGATTAAAGGCATGTGCCCTTTTTAAAATTTTATTTATTTTTATTTCACATGCGTTAGTGTCTTGCCTGCATGTATTCTGTATGAGGGTGTCAGATTCCTTACTGCTGGAGTTTCAGACAGCTGTGAACTGCCATGTTGATGCACAGAACTGAACCCTGGAAGCTCTGGAAGAGCAGACAGCTCTTAACCGCTAAACCATCTCCAGCAACATATTCCACATTTTTACTTTTTTTTTTTTTTTTTATTGTGGGGTGGTCAAGACAGCATTTCTCTGTAGTTTTGGAGGCTGACCTGGAACTCGCTCTGTAGACCAGGCTGGTCTCAAACTCACAGAGATCCTCCTGCCTCTGCCTCCCGAGGGCTGGGATTAAAGGCGTGCGCCACCACTGCCCGGCCTCATTATTTTTCTTAAAGATATTCATTCATGTGTGTGTGTGCGCGCGCGCTCATACGGAGGGCAGAGAACAGCTTTTGGAGGTCCCATCTCTCTTTCACCATGTAGGCTCCAGATTCCAAACTCAGGTTGACAGCAGGCGCCCTTACCTGCTGAGCCGTCTCGCCAGTCCTGTATTACATTTTTAACAAAAATATGGACAAAGTATTCCTTTGAAGCCTGAGTGCTAAATTGTATCTCGTGAAAAACCAAGAGCATGAAGACACTAACTGCGGATTCTACACTCAGGCCAGTTTGCCACCGTATCTTACCACTTGCCTTAACGGCCCTCAAGAACTGGCTTTGGGACCTGTGGATGCAGGAGTTCTCGACTGCGTAGTGAAGGTATAGCTTTCTCCATTAGGCTGTCTGCTCCATTTCTCCTGTTTGCTCTGAACCCTGCCCCACCCCTTCTTGCGAGCACACTGATACCTCGCAGCCATAGTGTGTCTCCTGGCGCCCCCAGGTGCTCTGGGTGGAAAGTACATATATGTACATCCTGTAACAGCGGACTGGGAGACCCTGTCGGGAGACCCAGTATCGGCTGGAGTCTTGTTGCCCTTGCACAGGGCTGGGAGAGGATGCCCACCCAGGCTGGATTCTCACCAGCCCCTTCCTCTTCCCACCCCTTCCCCTGAGGCTGGAGGGCTTCAGCCTAGGAGATCTAAAGACTTGTGCAACGTGATTCAAGAGCCCTTTCTCCTTTCATTAATTTCTTCTGCCACCGCTAATTTTTTCCAAACATGCTGTTTGCTTTTTTTTTCTCTTTCTTTCTTCCTTTTTTTTTTTTTTGGTTTTGTTTTTTGGAGACAGGGTTTCTCTGTGGCTTTGGAGGCTGTCCTGGAACTAGCCCTGTAGACCAGGCTGGTCTCGAACTCAGAGATCCACCTGCCTCTGCCTCCGAAGTGCTGGGATTAAAGGTGTGTGCCACCAACGCCAGGCTTATTTTAGATTTTTGACTGAGTCTCACATTGTAGTCCTGGTTGGTCCCAAACTCATGGCAATCTCCCACCGTGGTCCTAAATGTTGGGGTTACAGGCATGAAAAGTATATCCTGTTCTTTTTTCCATGCTAGGGATCAGCAGAGCAGCCAGGATGTTAAGCACGTGCTTCTGCCTACAAACGGCATGGTGGCACGCTCAACGAATTAAAGTGACTTTCAATAATTGATTTATTGTGGGTGGAGGCATTGCGTAGCAGTTTGCTTTGAGATTAAAACCCTTCATCTTGGGGCTGGAGAAATGGCTCAGCAGTTAAGAGTTCATACTTCTCTGCAGGGTACCTGAGTTTGATTCCCTATATGCAGCTGCCTGTTATGTCCAACCTAAGAAATCCAACACGCTCTTCTGGCCTCACACAGACGTGCACTCACATATGCATGTGCACATAGGCGCACATACATACACTGTACTGTACACACTTCAAAATGAAAGTAATTATTAAAAATTTTCATCTTGGAGGAAGGCTTATAAAGACAAGGATGTGAGGACTTGGCATGGTGACCCACACCTTTGATCCCTTTGGTCCCAGCACTAGGGAGGCAAAGGCAGACAGATCTTTGTGAGTTCAAGGCCTGTTTGGTCTATACAGGGAGTTCCAGGACAGCAAGATCTACACAGTGAGACATTGTCTCAAAAAGGGGTAGGGGTAAAACAGGATGTTCAGCTTATCTAATAGAAACTGAAACACTCCATCTTGCTAAGGGGTCACACTTGTTTTTTTTTGTTGTTGTTGTTGTTGTTGGTTTTTCGAGACAGGGTTTCTCTGTATTGTTTTGGAGACTGTCCTGGAACTCGCTCGGTAGACCAGGTTGGCCTCGAACTCACAGAGATCCGCCTGCCTCTGCCTCCCAAGTGCTGGGATTAAAGGCGTGCGCCACCAACGCCTGGCTGGGGTCACACTTGTTAAGCTCAGGAAGTGACCCTCCAGCTCCCAAATAATGACAGAGACTTCTTATTGCTATGAAAGCTTGGCCTTAGCTTAAGCTTGTTCCCAGTTAGCTCTTAAAATTTAAATCAACCTGTTTATATTAATCTACATTCTGCCGTGAGGCTCCTTCCTGTTCCTCAGTTCCATACGTCAGACTTTCAGTGTCTGACTGGTAAATCTCTGCACCTCAGATTCTTCCCAGAGTTCCTATCTTTCCCGGAAGTCCTGCCTATACTCTCCCACATTCAGCTCTTTATCAAACCAATCAGAGGGTGTCTTAAGCAGGTGAGGAAGGACAGAGACACATCTTCACAGTGTACAAAAATTACCACCCCCAGCACTCAGGAGGCAGAGGCAGGCGGGTCTCTGTGAGTTCGAGGCCAGCCTGGTCTACAAAGTGAGTGCCAGGATAGGCTCCAAAGCTACACAGAGAAACCCTGTCTTGAAAAACCAAAAAGACAGAGTCTCTTCTATGGAACTTGCCAGATATAACCGGGTGGCCTCAAACTTGGAATCTCCCACCTGCCTCCACCCCTGGAATGCTGAGATCAGAGGCACACAGCATTCTATGTAGCGCAATCATTTCTTTAAGAGGGTTTGTTTAGTTAGGGAACATGGGGGGGGTGTATATTCTGGAAAGCAGCTGCTCTTGGGGACCTGAAGACATGTTGGATGCCACCAGATAGGAGTGCTGGGAACAGAACCAAACACAGGCCCTCTGCAAAGCCCTCAATCACTTTTGACTGAATGCCGAGCTTTCCCTCCTAGGAAACACTAACACTCTGTTTTGAAACAGGGTCTGATGTATCCCAGGCTAGTCGTCTCAAACTCCCCAGACTTTCCCATCCTTCCTTCCTTTTTTAAAGTTATTTCTTATTTTATTTTTGGTGACAGAGTCCCTAGATGACCTGGAACTCACTGTGTAGACCAGGCTGGCCTTGAACTTGCAGTAGTCCTCCTGCCCCTGCTTCCCAGGTGTTGAAATTACAGATGTGAGCTACACCTGGCTTTTCTACCCCTGAGAATATCTCAACCTACCAAGGCAATCAAAGCATCCAGAGTGCTGGGACTACAGGTTTAGCCTTTTGCAAAGGAAGTTCTGCTGTTCCTATCCAGCCACTCTGCCCTCCATCTCTCTCTGTTCCTGTGTCTTCCGATTCACACACGAGGGCCCCGTTTAGAAGGTGCTGGACCACTGCTGGGCAGACGAAGGTTAGGAAGGAAATGCCTCTTCTTCAGCCCACATGCGCCAGTCTTCACAGAAGCCCCCTGCAGCACCCAGCACGCACCCTCACACACGAGGGGGAGTCTGGGTAGCACTGAATATACAGGGACACACACGTGGCACCGATGCGTGCATATGTCTGCCCCTCAAAACACATGTGACACCCAACAGAGAGACAGCACAGCATCCGATGGAAACAACTAGTGTATTGATTTGGAGGGAGAGCAGAGGTGCAGATGGGGAATGGGGTGAAGGGCTCCTTAGTGTCTACCGTAACCACCAATCACCACGCCCTCTACTCTGCTCACAGGCCTCCCCGGGGCAGGGCCCCAGCAGGCTCTCACCCTTCCCAGCAGCCTACGTTCTCATTCTCCCCTGTACCCCGCTTCCAGTGCCTGGACAGGGCCCACCAGGCTCTAACGCTGGGGAAAGGCAGGCTCAAACTCCTCCTCCTCCCATGTCATTCCCATCTTTGTCTAAATAAAATACAGAAAAAGCAAGCATGGCGGGGGCGGGGCAGGGGGACCTGGGAGAATCCACTGACCCCAGGCTAGGGAGGGGCAGAGGGTTGAGCAGGCAGAGGAGCCTCAGCCAAGTGTAGTGGAACCAGGAGAGGCTTGATCTCTCTCAGTCACCCCTCTGCACCCTCTTTCTCTGCAGCTGGCATGGCGGTGGGCCAGCTGTCTGGAGGAGGCTGGTGAAGAGAACTCCACGCCTTCTCTCAGGCACCACGTCACAGGGAGCTGGGATGAGCGCAAGGCCAAGGCAGCAGGACAGAAACTAGCCGCTATAAAAGCAGTCCTTCCCCTGGGCTCCCTGAGAAGCCCACTGGTTTTAAGGCAGATACAGGGAAATTACGGGAAGGACTTAGGACTGAGATAGAGACTTTTTTTTTTTGCTTGTGTTTTTCCTTCAGTATAAAACCACTGTAGAAAATAACTTCTCTTAGAAAAAAAATAGAAGAAGAAAAAAAACCAAAGGCAGGAAATAATTTTTTTCTTTGGCTTCAGGCCTGCTCCCATTAGGTGCAGAGCAGGAGGTGGGCATGAGGTGGGGTGGGAGCAGGTGGCCTCTGGCCCCACCCCTGCCTGGCAGGTCCCAGATTACATGATGCTGCAGTTCTGGGAACTCTAAGAGAGAAGAGAATGCAGAGGTGTGAGCTCAGTGGCTGACCCTTCCTCTCCCTCCCTGACCCCAACCCTCACCCTCTGGCTCTGGCCCTGCCCTCACGTCTGGGGTTCAGACAGGAGGGGCAGGGAGCAAGAGAGGCTACAAGGAGGAGGATCCCACTCCCGTGGCCTGCCCTGCCCGGCTGCCTGGTGAGCAGTGCCCTGCCGTAGGGGGGAGGCAAATCGAGGATGACTCACCTGGGTCCGGGGACTGGAGTTGCCCAGGAGGTAGGAGCGGGTGACTAGGCTGTCCCCGAAGCTGCCACCCCCACTGCCCCCCACACTGCGGTAGCTTCGAGTGACTGTGACACTGGAGGCAGAAGAGCCAGAGGAGACGGATCCGCCCACCTGGGCTCCTGAGCCAGTGGCAGCCTTGTCGGCAGGCTGCCCACAAGTCCCACACAGCACGGTGCGTGAGCGCAGGTTGTACTCGGCGGGGTCCCCCGAGCTGCTGCAGTGGGAGCCCTGGGAAGGGAGACAAGGCTCAGGAGGGACAGTGCGTCTGGGACCGACTGCTTAGGACCAGGCTCTGGGCTCCTAGAGTTTCCTGGCCATCGGGCGGGAAGGTGGCCTCTGTACCCAGACAGCTGGAGCCAATAGGGACTTGGGAGGCCTGTGGTCGGGACCAAGGACGTGACAGGGGAAAATGGCCAAGAAGGCTTCGAGATGGAGAGGTGTGGCTTTCACGCTCTCCTGAATCCTAGAAACTTACAGGGAGGTTGGGAGGGAGATGAGAGATGGAGATATGTAATTTGTGAGGGGACAGGAATGAGGGAAAGCATTGTTGTAGGGAAACAGGACCGTGAGAGGAAGCATGCAACAGATGGAGAGACGGGGAGATGCATGCAGTGGGCTGGGGAGAGAGGCAGGGCTGGGCCTCTGTCCTCCATCCCCTTCCCAGGAGACAGATCCAGACCCTTGTCCACTACCACCGTGGAACAGTCCATGGCACCAGAAGGTCCCCACTCCCTTTCTTACCAGACACCTGGCTTCCCTGTTCAAGGTAGAGGGAGGAGAGAGAAGAAAGGCCAGGGCAGCAAGTGGCATTCCAAAACATTCTTTAATGAAAAGACTTTGGCATGGAGGCGGGAGAGCTGCCCTAGGCTGGCAGGGCCACCCATGTGGGCTGGGTCTCAGCGGCGGCTGCCACTCACGTGGTGGTGATGGAGCAGATCATCTCCATCCTCATCCTCGTCGTCCTCAACCATGGTCACTGAGCGCACCAGCTTGCGCATGGCCACTTCCTGTGGGACACAGGCCCAGGCCCAAGAGTCAGGGTGTGAGGGCCATGCAGCCTGTCTATCCATAGTACCTTCCCAGATCCTTCCCAGGCTCTGCCGTTTGTCTAACCGGCTATTTGCTCTGACCTCTGATGCTGGAGTCAAGGAATGTGCTTGTATACACATGTAGGAAGGACACCCATGGGAGTTCAGCTCTCTTTAGGCTGAGTCTGTGGCTAGCAACGTTCACTGGTGGACTTCCACCCATCACCCTGCTAGCTTGCTTACTGGGTGGGCACTTGGAACGTGATCCAAGGTTGCATTGGGTTGAGGATAGCTGGCTCCTACTATGGCCACCAGGGGGAGCCTGGTCCAGGCTGCAGCATACTCACTTCTCCAGTGGAGTTGATGAGAGCTGTACGAAGGCTGTTCCCACAACCCCAGGTGTTCTGTGCCTTCCACACCAAGTCAGTAGGGGGGCTATGGGTGGCCCCAGCTCCTGCAGCCCAGATCTGGGAAAAGACAGTTTAAGAAGTGTGTTTATTCTTAACGCTCCTGTCCAGAGACCAAGTTCTCCACTCCAGAGTCCCAAACACCCTTCCACTCACCGTCACCACCTGCCCAGCCTTTAGGGTGAACTTTGGTGGGAAGCGATATGTCATCAAGGGGTCATCACCATTCTGACGCTTGATCTGCCAGTTCCCCATGGATTGGTCCTGCCAGTGGGGGTGGGAGGAGAACAGGGAGGCTCAGCCTGGGACTTATCTCACAAAAGAGCCCAGGTAGGCCAGATGCCATAGTGTACACCTGTAGTCCCAGCTACTACAGAGGTTGGTACTGAGGCAGGAGGACAGGGGGAATAGCTTGATCCCAGAAGATCAAAGTCAGCCTGGGCAAGATCCCTATCTCAAACAAAACAAAAAGAAAAGGAAACAGGCCTGCCACCACCGTATCTGGTATTCAAACCCCCTAACCTAACCCTCAAGGGTCCTACTGTGGCTGTGTGAATATGCATGCTGTGACACACACTCGAGTATCTTTCATCTTCCCAACAATTTAGAGATGTGGGGACTGCCACACTCCAAATTCCCAGAGAGACATGCTCCATGAGAACCAGTGTCGCCCAGCTGTTGAATACAAGACCCTGATCCAGAGGCCCACCTCGTTGGACTTGTTGCGCAGCCGCACAAACTTTCCCTCCTCATCTACTTCCTCCACAGCCACACGCCCGCTAGTGCGAGCGTGCTGCGAGAAGCTGCTCCGGCTCTCAGTGGACTCCAGCTTGCGTTTTTTGGTGACGCTGCCCCCACCCTGCGATTGGGATGAGTGAGAAGAGGTGCGGCCACGGCTGCGCTGCGAGGTAGGGCTGGGAGACAGGCGTAGCCTGGGAGAGTGGAGAGGAGATGGGGTTGGTCACGGTAGCTGCGGTCCCGAGGCTCCCGCCCGCGTCTTTTGACCCCTCCTGGCTCACCTCTCCTCCTCGCCCTCCAGCAGCTTCCTATAGGCATGGATCTCCATGTCCAGGGCCAGCTTGATGTCCAGCAACTCCTGGTACTCATCCAGCTGCTGCTGCATCCTCGCCCGCATCTCGGCCATCTCTCGCTCTTTTTCCGCCAGCAGCCGCCGGCTAGTATCCCGCTCGCGAGCCAGGGAGTCCTCCAGGTCACGCAGCTTTGCCTCCTTGGCTGCCAGCTGCGGTGGGTGGGAAAGACAAGGTGTGATGAGCTCCCAAGGGAGGGGCACTCAGGACCTGGGGGCTCTCCTTAGAAACACCGCGGCAAGCCAGGGTGGCGCACGCCTTTAATCCCAGCACTCAGGAGGCAGAGGCAGGAGGATCTCTGTGAGTTTGAGGCCAGCCTGGTCTACACAGTGAGTTCCAGTACAACCAAGGTTACACAAAGATCCTGTCTCGAAAAAAAAGGTGGGGGGGACGGCACGATGGCCTTATCTAGTAACCAGGAAGCTCTTTCTAACATCTAACTGAAGCCTCTCATTCTGAGGCTACACCCCTGCCTCTTGTCACAAATTGCACAGCCATCTAAAATAATGTTACTTGTAGCCGGGTGTTGGTGGCGCACGCCTTTAATCCCAGCACTCAGGAGGCAGAGGCAGGCGGATCACTGTGAGTTCGAGACCAGCCTGGTCTACCGAGTGAGTTCCAGGACAGGCTCCAAAGCCACAGGGAAACCCTGTCTTGAAAAAAATAATAATAATAATAATAATAATGTTACTTGTAACATTTCACACTGCAGTGCTATGACACATCTGTGAATTAGAGAGGACAAGAGTGTTCACCATTTTCCATTCTTTTCTTTCTTCTTTTATTTTAGGCATTTTTTTATTTTCTATTTTTCGGGTTTTTTTTTTTTTTGACCAGGTTAGCCTTGAACTCATAGAGATCCCACCTCTCTATGCCTCCCAAGTGCTGGAATGAAAATTGTGCACCACCACTGCCTGGCTTCTTTTCTTTTTTTGAGACAGGGTCTCATGCAGTCTGGGCTGGTCTCAAACTTGCTATATAGTTGAGGATGACCTTGAATCCCTGCTACTCCGGCCTGGGTTGAAAGGCATGTTCCACCATGCCCTGTTCTATGTTGTGCTGGGATAGAACCAGGGTTTCATGCATGATAAGCAAGTACTCTACCAACTAAGCCACTAGCCCAGCCCAGGGTAATCTCCATTTTCAAACAGGAAATGAGGCTGGGAACCTAACTCAGTGATAAAGCACCTGTTTACCATGCCCGAGGCCTCGGGTTCCATCTCCAGCACACACAATAAACAGGAAACCCTTCCACACTAAAGATAAAAGGCTCTGAGGACCAAGGCAAGCTGAAGGGGACACAGGCAGACAACACACAACAGCAGTGTGTAGTCCTGGGGTCCCTCTTCCCCTTTATTCCCCCTCTTCCCAGCCCAGTGCCCTGGTGGGAAGGGCAAACGGGGCGTCACCTGCTTCTGGAGCTGGCTGAGCTGGGCTGAGAGGCTGTCGATGCGGATCCGAGACTGCTGGAGCTCCTCATGGGCAGCCCCCACTAGGTTGCTGTTTCTCTCGGCAGACTGCCTGGCATTGTCCAGCTGCAGGGAGCACACAGTATTAGCACAGGGACCTGGAGGGATAGAACCTGCGACCTGAGGATGGTTCCCTGCTGCAGCCTCAGGTCCTGGCTCAATCTTCCTGCTCCCATCCACCCACCCCCGAGGCACACCCAGCATGGCAGCACCAGGGAGACGACAGGGTAAGGCCAGCACCTTGGCAGAGTATGTCTTCTCTAGCTCCTTCTTATACTGTTCCACCTGGTCCTCATGCTGGGCCCTCAGATCCTGCAAGGCATCGGCCAGCCGGCTCTCAAACTCACGCTGCTTCCCGTTATCAATCTCCACAAGCCGGGTCTCATGCCGGCGCTTGGTCTCACGCAGCTCCTGAAAGGGTTCAAGACACAGGAATGAATATCAGAATGACTCCTCAGAAGATGAGACCCAGAAGTCCATGCTCCCTGCCTTGCCTTAACCCCTACAGGCCCAGGCAGCCCTCCATTAGCCTAGGAGCTGGGTACGTGCCACTTCAGACAGGCGAGTTTGGCATACAGGTGATCCCTAGCCCTGAGCCCAACGTCCAGCCGTTGCTGATCCGTGCTCGGCTGGTACAGGTACAACGTGGTGCTCACCTCACTATAGATGTTCTTCTGGAAGTCCAGTTCCTCCTTCAGGGTCTGCAGCCTGTTCTCAGCGTCCACTCGCCGAAGCATCTCATCCTGAAGTTGCTTCTTAGCCTCACCCAGGGCTGCCTCAAGCTGAGAGGAAGAGAGCACAGGTCATGTAGAGAACACGTCAAGGAAGCCGAGTGATTGCTGTCCCCAGGGAGAACGGGTCAAGAGGCAGTGAAGGCCTTCGGCGCCACCAGGGGAAGAGCGTCCACATCCCCACACTAGCTGCCCACGACAGCCACAACACTAAGAGATCACGGCTGAGGGCCAGTGAGGTGGCTCAGCAGGTAAGGGTGCCTGCCACTCGGCCGACAAACTAAGTTCTGTTCCTAGAGCCCATGTGGGAAGCAGAGAGCAGATCCCTGCAAGATGTCCTCTCATCCTAACACGTGTGTTGTAGCGTGTAGGGGCCCGTGCAATAAAGATAAATAAGTGAAAAAAGAAAAACTTGAACATCAGTAATAACCTCCCCTGCTCAGGGCCTCCCTTCCTTGACACCACAGGGCAGCTAGAGGTCTATGTGGAGTGTGGAGGAGGAGGAGCTTGGGAAGGCCTGAGACTGAGTCTGTTAGTGAGTCTGAGGAGGGACAGGAGTAGCTGCAGGGCACCAGTACAAGGCACACAAGCAGGGAGGTCTCCGCAGCATCAGACCAAGATATCCCTTATCTGCCCTGGAAAAGGCCCTGCAGGAAGCACACGCTAAGCCATTCATCTTGGAAGTGCAGGCTGGCCAAGCAGCCTCCAAGAGCTGGGGAGGGAGGGGCCCCACTTTGGCTTTGAGTCAGCCTGCCGCTTTCTCCCGTGTTTCGTGGTGCGGTGGGGTGAGAAGGGGACCTCGAGAAGAACACACCCAGGCACGTTAGCTTCTCTTCATGGGCTCCAAGCCTGGCCCATGACCTAAGCAGGCAAGACCCTGAAACTACACCACTGCTTCTTCAGCCCTGTCTGTAAGGTGAGGACTCAGGGGTCAGCAGTGTTTGGAAAGTAGCGGACCCTGTGCACACACAGCACAGTATTGCCCCACACCTAGGTATAATTAGCCATCAGCACGCTGTTATGGCCTCAGTGGACAGCTTTCCTCTGAAGAGGAGACAGGAGAGAAGGGATCTGGAGCTATGCATAATACACTGTACAGTTAAGTGGAACTGGTTTGTGGATTCTGTTCTGTGCCTTGGTGGCCTAAGAAGGACGAGCGATGGGCTAGACGAGCTAAGAGATGCTGGACAGGTGAATGAATGGCCTGCAGACTGAGTGACAGGTCAGACCAGACACCTCCCAAGGGCAGGCTGAGGAGGAAGAGTCCGTATGCATTCCTCAGGTTGGGTCACTGGGATCACAGGAGGGCCCTGTGACTTACCTTGGCTACCTGCCCCCGCAGGTCATGGAGCTCACCCTCTAGGGTGCGCTTCTCACTGAGAGCAGTGCTCAGTGCAGCTTCCTTGGAGTTGAGGAGAGCCTCCAGGTCCTTAAGCCGGGCCTGGGCAGCCAGCAAGTCACCCTCCTTCTTGGTATTGCTAGGAAGGAGAAGAAGAGAGGAGAGGAGAGTCAATTTCAGGAGCCCACTTGGCTGGGATAGGACTGCTCTGTGGTCCTCCCAACAGTCAGAAGAGGGCAACCTTACATTAGGTTTGTTTGCATCCACAAGCTTCTGGGGCTGGGTTCTTACCTCCCCTAAGATTTCCCAAAAGCCCCTTCCTGCTTCTCTACCCTTCCCATGACTCAGGGCCAAGGAACGTGCCTGGGGCCAAGGGCAAAACTAGATCGCATGATATGAATGCCTGGCTCTCTCCCCTCGCATTCCCTCTAAAATAGACAGGGCACCTTTGTCTCCCACCCCCTCCCACACAGGGCCTTAACCTTTTCCTCCCCAGACTCCACCCAGTTCCCAGCTTGCTCCCCTCCCTTGGAGCAAACAGACTGGGAGTGTCTGGGGCAGGCACACACACACACACACACACACACACACACACACCTCAAAGTCCCAACACCTCTCAATTTGAGTTTCATATTGGTCTAATCCCTTTTGCCCGTTTGGGGCTTTGGGAAAAGAAAATCTGGCTAGGGAGATCAGGGACAAGGATGAGGAGGCATAGAATGAGACCTTTCCCTTCTTGGGACTTAATCTTAAGACCCTTGACCCTGGCAGGGCAGAGGGCCAGCCTCCTCCAGAGTCCTGACAGAGGCTAAGCCCTTCTCACTCCAGATGTCAATCCCTGGATCCCAGATCCATGGGGTTCCAGTCTGGAGCCACACCCTATCCCTAGCTTTAGAGGAGACTCTACAACCCGACACTGCCTCTGCCTCTGCCTCCCCCACATTCCGGATTCTTTCTGCTAGTGAGCAAGAGAAGCAGAGAGGCCCTGAATTTTTCCTGAAAAATCTCTGGAAAGCCTGAGAACTCTCCAGACATAATGCCTTCACAAGCACCAAATCGGGCAGGGTGCAGTAGACCCTAGGAGTGGCAGAGAAGACCCAAGGGTCCTTGCCAGCTGCTGTCTGCAGCAGCAGCGGTTCTCAGCAGGAGCCCCCGAGACAAAGGAACAACGATTCTGGGCGATGCACCTGCCCTGCAAGCACGAAGAACTGTTTGGACCCTCAGCCCCTAGAGCCTGGATGGGACCCCACCCAGCATTTCTGCGGCCAGGCCAGAGGCTGAGAGAACCTCTCTGGAAGCTTGCAGCTCAAATCACCCTGGTTATGCAGTAGCACACAGGAAACCATGTTTCAAGCCAGGTCGAAGGTGAAGGACCAACACCCAAGGCTCCTCCAACCTCCACCTCTACCTCCACTAAGCCAGCCCTCATTAGCAAGTCATGTTGTCTTAATTCCCCCAAGATTAAAAAAGTAAAGAAGGTGGGCAAACGAGGGAGGGCCCACTCCAGGAAGAACAGCTCTGCCAACATTTTTTTCTCCTGCCACAAAACTCTAAGCAACATAACAAGCCTAGCGATTCACCCTGAAGCAGGAAAGAAAAGGCTAGACCTAGGGAAGTTACAGAGGGAGGAGACACTCGGGACATTGGGACATTTCAAAGAGCCACACCCTCCACCTGGGCTCTACTGGTCTGGGAGGGGGACGGAGAGTTAGGGAAGAGTATGAGGTCCCAGAGGCTACTCCCAGGCAATGTTTGCTCCATCCACAACACAAAACCAGTTATTTAATGCAGTAGTGTCTTTCTCCTGCAGAGGCCCTTCCAAAACCAGAGACTGTTTCTCCTCCTCCATCTTAGCACGAAAAGCTAAAAATAAAGTCAAAACCCAGCTCAGGTTTTGGCTGCCATCCGGCCCAGCCCTGGCTAGAAGCACAGCCCCAACTTTCCATGACTTCAGAACTTTTCCGAAGCTGAGGCAGCTGCAGGGGAGGACAGAAAATGAAGAAAAAGCACGGGCGAAACAAGTTGCAGACAGAGAATCTCAGCTCCTTGGGCCAGCTCCAAGGCCGGCAGGGGCTTCCCAGAGGGGCCTCTCCACCGTGAAGGCCACCTGCTGGGCTGCTGCTGGTGATGTGGGGAGACTCAGAGTCACTGGATCCCCTCCTTTCAGAGATGAGAAACAGCGGCAGGGGCAGTGTTCTCATGATTCTTGTTTTTTTTTTTTTTTTCTCATGATTCTTGCGGATCTCAGACTTTCCCCTCTATCTCACAGCCTTCCTAAGCCACAGGTGTAGAGAGAACGAAGAAATAAGCCAAGAGAGAGAAGAAAGCAGATTGTGTTCAACAAATCCATCCCTGATGGGGCCGGATGCCTTCTGAACATGCCTCAGGGACACTTCCTGGTCCAGCCTCCTTGGACACTAGAGGGGTAATTCCCAGGGTTCCCCTTGTCCTTGTCTGTACTGGGATGTGGTGCAACAGCCCTGTCCTCCAGGAGTGAATGGTCTGATATGCACAGGGCTGGGTTTTTATGATAACATAACCGTGTGTCATATAACAGTGGAGTTGTCACATAATGAGGAGTTATTAGTTTCATCACTATGCAAACATCACAATATGTGCACACAGGTGATAGGAGTTTATGGGACCCTCGCCATATGTGGGCCACCGCTGACAGAAACGTGTAGCACATGGGTGCAACAGCAAATACTTCTAATGAACGAACCTATTATATATACCGGGCACTGCTGTAACCAAGACAGTATTAGCTCAGCTAATCTTTATAGCTGCCCTCGGCGACGGGCGCTATTACCAATGTGATTACAGGAAAGGAAGCCTGTAAGAGCTCCAGCCAGGGCCCTGCGGGAAGCAGGTTAGGTTCCTCTCCGCACCAGTTGGGCACAAGCCTTCACTGAAGCCAGGGGACTGCTTCCCTTTCCTCCAGGGTTTCCACCCGGGCACTGGAGACTCCATTACAGGACTAAGACACACCCTGTAGCTGAGGGAAACCTCAAGCAGATGGAATCAGGGAAGAGCCTTTGTGGTTTTTCGTCAGGCATGGGGAGCCCCAGCTAGGGGAAGAAGCAAGCCACTATCACCTATGGGCTCATGACTCAGACCTTGGGAGCTCAGCAGACAGAACCACAAGCACAGAAATGTGTGGGGGAAGGACCAGACCTACACTCTTCTCCCTCTTCTCTGATCTCTTCCCTTTTTGGTTTTTCAAGACAGGGTTTCTCTCTTTTTTTTTTTTTCTCTGTGTAGCTGTCCTGAGCTCACTCCGTAGACGAGGCTGGCCTCAAACTCAGAGATCCTCCTGCCTCTGCCTTCAAAGGCTGGGATTCATGCACCATCATGGCTCAGCTAATCTGTCTCTCTTTTAATCAGTTTTTTCCTTTTAAAACCATGTTTTAAGCCTGACAAGGTAGTGTCAGGGGAAGTGGATCTCAGTGAGTTCAAGGCCAGTCCGGCACACATACATCCAGGTCAGCCAGGACTGAGTGGTGGCACACACCTTTAATACCAGCACTCTGAAGCAGAGACAAGCAGGAGCTCAGACTGGTCTACAGAGCAAGTGAGTTCCAGAACAGCCAGCGCTACACAGAGAAACCCTGCCTCAAAAAAAAAAAAAAAAAAAGCATACTTTATGAATAGCAACATAATTTACATGTTTAAACAACGCTATAGCAGAATTATTTGCTATCATTTAAAATAGATTAACAAGATAGAGGGGGAAAAAATCGAGTTACATGACTGTCCTCTACCAAACACCATTTCCTTCCTAGAGAGAAGGGCCTCAGCCTTCCTTGGCAGGCCTCGAAGACACCGGGACAGGACTAGGCCTCTGAGGCTGCGTAGAGGTGCGGTCCAGCTCCAGCCCACTGGGCGTGGCAGTGGGAAAGCTGGTTTGTGCTGGGCTGGCATGGAGGACTGGGTGGGGCCCACGGGGGAGCTGGAAGGGGGTAGGAACCTGGGCTCCTCGGGTGACTCACGTTCAGACCCACAATACCAGGGCAGGGGCCTGGAAACCATCCAGTGGTCTCAGGGGCAGAGAGACTGCCTGCCTGTGTCCTGTTCCAGGCCTGGCGTCATGAGAGCGCTCCGCCTGAGCTGCATCCCCGCTGCCTCCGGGCCGGGGCAAGAAGAGCTGGGTATCCGGTTTAACTCATCCCAGTGGGCAATTCTGGCTGGAAGAGGGGCGTGGGGGAGGGGAGCAGAGCAGTCTAGAATAGGGTGAGAAGCTGACGGGACGGGGTGGGGGGACTAGGTTGGGGTCCCCGGGCTGCTTTGGGGGAGAAATCAGCAGTGGCAGAGGGGCTGGGTGGGCACAGGGCCAGGCGCTGACCCGCCCACTGAGTCATCCTCCTCAGCCACCTCAGACGCCAGATATGGAAGCCGCGCAGCCTGTTTGGCCTGGTTGCCGGGAGCAACAGCCTAAACCCAGAGGGAGTGGCCTGCATTTCCTCCCCTGTCCTGGGGGAGGGACCAGCCGCTCAGACTCTACACAGAGCTAAAAATAAGGAGCAGGAGGGGATGACGGTCCGGCCTTCGTCCCGCCCGCCCGGCCCGCCCGCCCGCCTCACCGGCCCTCGGCGTTCCCCATAGCTGGACCAGAGAGAGCCAGCGAGGCCTCGCGCCCCTGGGAGTTCCGGAAAGGTCCGGTGACCCCTATGGCTGGGCAGGGTACTGAGGTGCTGCTCCCAGACCCTCCTGGACTGCAACCTCTACCTTGTTAACTTCCGGCCCTACCCTGCCCAAGCCCCAGCGCGACCTAGACCCTTACTGCTTTACTTACTATTCATTTTTATTCATGACAGGGTCTCGAGTTCCTAAGCTGCCTGGAATTCGCTAAGTAGTCAAAGATGACCTTAAACTCCTGATCCTCCTGCATCTACCTTCCAAGTGGTGGGATGACGTGTTTACGGGGTGCTGTGGATGAAACCCAAACCCTTACGTTCTTGCAAGATACATTCCCAGGCCCTATTTTTTTCCCATTAGCAACAGTTTCCTGTGTCTTAATTATGTAGACATGGATGGTGCGTGCATGCATATTAAGTAGAACGGGCTCGGTACCTAACCCCCCACAGCTGCCCCACCCATCATCCTCCACCCCTTGCTGTGCTCCACCTCAGCCCAGGTTTT